CGCCTGGGCGAGTGGTGCGGCCCACGGCGCGTCGCGCTCAGCCCCGGCCCGGAACGACGCGGCCCGAGCAGGCGGAGGCGGAGGATGGCGCTGCCAGGTGGGCACCTTGTTTGTGGGCAGCGGGTGGCGGCCCCTTCCCCGTGTCCTAGTCTCCTGGCCGGGCTGGGAGCGCCCTGCCCGCAACCGGGGCCAGGTCGCAGTCCAAGCTCCTGGATGCGGGGACACCCCCTCCGCGCAGGGTGCGGGGAGTTGTCCCCACCTGTGGGGCGTAGGGTTGCCAACCCTCCAGGATCGCCCGGGAGCCTCCAGGAATTGGATACAATCTCCAGGAGACTGCTGAGAGTCACCCGGGAGACAAGTAATAGGGCGTTCTTTAAAATAAACATTAAATGCTGCATCCAGTTTAGGCCTGTGGGTTTTTCTTTTTTAATGTAATAGTAATGTGCATTTGCCTTCCTGAGTGCAGTACAGTAGACTGGTCATTAATGTCTCTACATCATGTGAGGAAACCTCCCGGAATAGATTCAAACAAAGTTGGCAGCCTGAAGTGGGGCATCACCTTCCTCTGCCTGGCCTGGCCCTCTCCCGGGGTCTCCTGAGCATACGCTGACCCCCTTGTACAGCAGCTGGACGTGGGTTGCCGCGTCCCCTGCTCTGCCTGGGGTAGGTGAGGGTGTGAGGGCCGTGGTGTGTCAGGGTTGAGCTCAGGCTTGTTCGTGCACAGTTTAGATGTGGGTTTGTACAGGATGGTTTGGGTAGGGAGGATCCTGCCTGTCAGGCAGGGGTTGGACTAGATGACCAATGGGCGTAGTAAGCACTCTAGATTATTTTCTGGTGATGTTTCAGCTCAGTTAAGCAGTCAGGCAACAGCATCAAAAACATTCAAAAAGTGAACTGTAAGTCACTTTCAGAAGGCACATTTTCCCAGATCTACAGAATACCCCACCCGTCAAGGAAAGAAGTTCTCATCGCCAAGCAGGGCTTTGTAAGGGATATGCTGTGGTTTTAAAAATGTTTCCATGCTAGTTTATTGGGCAACTTGTTTTCTTCCTGCCTGTGTGTGGAGCTTTAAAGTGGAGTACAGTTTACACTGACTGGCCCCGCTCTTTAGGCCTGAAACTCATGTGCCTGGTGAACTAGGACAGCTGTAGAGAGATCTCCAGGCTGTAGGTTTAGTTTTGGAGTATCCTTCTCCTAGGTAGGTTCCCAGACCAGGGGTAAAGAGTTCCACCTGCCCTAGTTATTGGGGTTGGGTCGCTATTTGTCTGAAACCTCACCTTTGACCTTAACGCCATAGGATACCCTACCAAAAAAAATGTCCAGACAGCATGATTCTCAGGATCATCAGGGCACGCAAGCCTCTCCACCACAACAAGGAAGAGGAGTTTATTGCTTCATAACAAATCAAGCTCATTCTGCCATCAGTGAAATTACTGCTGAGTGGAAGTATTGGCCACAATCACGATGCAGAATAATCCCGAGTTCAGTAAAAACTCATACAGAAAATTTAAACTTTCAGCAGCCTTTTATAGTTGGTTTGGGCTTTGCTGGCCTTATATATTCCTTTTTCTAGTGGCCACATCTAACATGACAGCACCCTGAATTGAATTGTTTGCAGGGTTTGAATCCCAGAAGACTGGGTTATATGTCTGTGTGAGCTAATGGACAAGGTCTGTTAGCTCAAAGCAGCAGGACAGTTATAAAGCTCTATGCACGGGCTACCTGCTGGAATGGAACCAAGGGGTGTGTATAAAAGTTGTTTTTTTCACCATTTAAAGCGCTTTATTGCCATGACAGGGGGATCTGGGTTTTCCATTTGCCACAGGGAAGAATGCAGGAAAGTGCGATTTTTGCATTTTAAGGAGAAAACCCAGATTTTTTCTTTTTAAGGAGAAAAACATGGGAAATGGCAGGTTTCCCTTTGCAGGCTAGCAGAGTTCCAGCCTATAAGGCACTGGGGGAGCAGGAGAAGGGTGATTAGGCAGGGAGCACCACCAGCATGCATGCACCGCAGTGTAGAGCAGCTCTCCACAGATAAGCCTGGGTGGAGGGAGGGAAGGATTGAGGCTCCCCTAGTGAGGGAGGAAGGAGTGGGGCTGGAGCTGCTGCCCAGCTAGGATGGGGCCTGGGACCAAAATGTGTGGGCACAGAGTTTGGGCGGAGAGTGGGATGGAGCCGCAGGCGGTTCATTTGGGGGGCAGCAAGGGGCCTGGCTTTCCACTGCTGCCCAGACTCCCAGGGGTGTTACAGGGGGCACATGTCCTCCAGATTTGTGCGCAGGGCAGAGGTGGATGTGGGCTTCTTGCTGCCCTTCCCCTGTGGCCTCTGCATCTCAGCAGGTGGGACCTGGCGCGGCAGAGTAGGGCAGGGAGGCTTGGTGCTGCGTCCGGGGGGATGGGACAGGAGGCACCTCATCATGGCAATGCGAGGCTCCCAGCTGTGACACCAAGCTTCCCCACCACACTCTGCCTTGCTGTGTGGGGTCCCACCTGCTGGGCCGTGGGGGAAGGGCAGCAGGGCAGGGAGCCCCAAGCCTACAGCAGACATCCTGCATCTGCCCCCACCACAGGCTCCACTCCAGCTGTGCTCCATGGGTGGCAGCTGGGGCTTGGGTGCTGCTGGGGGAGGGAAGGTAACTGCAGATCCGGGTTTCTGTCCCTGTAGCCCTAGCAGGGGGACCCCCTCTGGCAGGACTGGGTGCAGGCAGGGGGCTGTAGGTTGGGAGTGAGTGACACCGGCAGGGTTGGTGCGACTGTGGCTTGGGAGGAAGGGGCAATGGCATGGGCAGGACACTGGCATGTCAGTGCAGCTCCACACCTCAAAGCAGTGTGGGGAACAGCCACAGCTGGACTTGCATCCTGGTGAGCAAAGGAGGCAGGGGGAGCTCTGATTTTCCATGATAAAAAAAACCCAAAATCAAGTGCCAAAACTTATAGGTATTTAGAATTTATTTATTATAGTGATTGAGGCACTGGTAGGCTTCCAAATTGCTTTGACATTGTAAATATAAAACATTGTGTTCAACTGATTCTCTCTCTCTCTCTCTCTCTCTATCTATATATATAGGTGAGAGAGAGAGTGAGAGTGGTGTTTCATTTTAACCACGGAAAAACATGGATTTGGGATTTTTTTGATCAGAGAGTCTGCAGCTTTTAAACAGAAAACCAGGATGCCTGGCCATGACTTAATAGAAGTGTATGGATTTACAGTACTTTAAAAATGGATACATCACTTTAAATTAACCCTTGTTAAATTAGTTATTACATTTGAAGCACTGTATTTTACAGCATTTTAGCTTTACAGTGCTTTAAAAAACTTCTGTATACTGGTCAAATTTTGACCAGTAGAGAAGACTGAGGAGGCTACAGAGTGCCCCCTGCCCCCCTAACCTGGAAAGTGCAGTGAGATTCAGAGACCTTTCCCCCCTTCCTCTCCAAACCATGCACTTCTGTCAAGTTTAAGAACACTGTAACCATAGGCGCCAACTTTCATTTTTGCCTAGGGTAGGGGGTGGCCAAGATGATGGATGTGTGCCATCCCCCCCAGCATGTGAGGAATGGGGCAGGTATGTGGGAAAGGGGGGTTGTGGGCACAGGTAATGTGTGAGGGGGTGGGAGGGACCATGTGCCTTCCACCAGATTCCTGTGCGCAAAGCAGGGTATGGGGCTGCAGCCTGGCCAGACCAGCCTTGGGCAGGATCCACTTCAGGGGCTCAGTGGGCAGGACCCAGTACAGGAGGGAGCACCACACTGCCCTGGCCCCCAAGGTGAGACACCCTCTGGCTCCAGCAGCAGCAGGAGCACAATTCCACGCCACTTCCACACCTCACCTTGGTGGCCATGGTGCTCTGTCCTGCGCTGGGTCCTACCTGCTGGGCCACAGAGGCAGCTCCTACCTGGAGCTGGTCCACCCTGGCTGCAGCCCTGTGCCCCATGTCCTGCTGTGGGTGCAGAAATCTTGGGGGTCATATGCCCCCCCGCTGTGTCACCTTCCTCATCCCCCGACTCCTCTCCGCCACGTTGCCTGTATTCCCTTGCTCCCCTGATGCATTGCCTGTGCTCCCCTGCCCCTCTCCTCCACATTGCCTGTGCTCCCCCTCTTCCCTGCCACATCACTGTGGTCCCCTTGCCCCTCTGTACTGCATCGCCTGTGCGCCTCCACCCTTCCCAACATGTCACCTGTGTCCCCTCATCACTCGCCCCCATAGACTTACCTGGAGGGAGCTGCTCTCCACCACTGCTTAGCTATCATGTGCTTGTGTCACCCCCTTCCACCTATAGCCCTCCCTGCTCCCCCCTGCCCCAAGCAGCTCCTTGCAGCCTACAAAGATAAACCCTGTTTCTCACGTTTTTCTCCTTTAAAGGAGAAGCATTATTTAATCTTCAGGTTTGGGCCCCGACAGCCTTCTTCCTGAGGATAGCCAGGGCCCTCAGGCCTGTACATTCTCAGCACCTATGGCTATAACTTTATAGCTGTATAAAAACTGCTGTAAATTACAGCACTGTAAAATGTGTGCAGATCACTTCTGTTTACACCCAAGAACTACTCAAAGAATTGCATTAAAGGTTTTCAGAAGAGGAGGTGGTTTGAGGCACTTTGACAGGTGATTTCAATAACACTGTAAGGACCTGTCTACAAATTACACTTCAGGTGTGATTGATTAACCAGCTAAGCAGGCCTTTTAAGTGTTCACCCAGCCACATGTTCAATCACTTAATGGCATGATAAAAAAGTTTCAAAGTTTTTCCACAAAATATGTGCAAGCAGCAGAGGTGCTTGCAGTACTGTAGCAGAAAGCCCCCTTTTCCTCTTGCCTGCATTTGCTCTCCCCTCTTTGGATATGTTTCTCTTTTTCTACCTTTTCTTCCTTCCTCTCTCTCTCACTTTAAGATAAGGAATTGTGTTTTAAAATTTGTGTGTGCGTATTTTGTATCTCCCCTTGTATTTTGGTATTTTTTTTATCTACTTGTGTGCCATGGCATTTGTAGCTTATATTTTATACTCCTCACCTTTCAACTTTCAACTAAATGTGTTTTAGTTTCATAAGTAAGTTATACATTGTAACAATGTTAACAAGGGCAGGAATCAAACTGCCCTTCCCTATATCAGGCTGGCCCCTGAAAGAGCGATTGAATCAGTGATTGAATGTGTAAGGTGATTGAATGTGTAACCTAGTAGCAGACAGAAGTTAACATCTGGAAGCTGCAGATCAACCAAGGGAAGAATTCAATAGAAGACAATGTAACAACCGGGAAATCTATAAACCTCACTGATCAAGGGCTAGAAGCCCTGGCCTGAGTTAATCAACGCCGGGGACCAACTTTTGGGCTGAATATCTCCAGATCACTCCCAGAGCCCTATTCAAAATTCATCAACGGACTCCCAAACCTGCACGTACATGCGGACGACCCCTGGGGCTGACAGATGCCATCCAGTAGCCACCAAGGCGGGGGAAGTCCCACGAGGGTCAACGACCCCTGGATTGGGCAAACCTGAAAACTGGGGAGTCACCAAAGTCTGCCAGGGACAGATAAAAGGCAGTGAAAAGTGACCCTCAGTGGCGCCCTCTTGATCTCCAACTCGACCAGACCTGTCCAGCCAGAAGGACCAGCTGGTGACCCCCTTCTGAAGGATAACACCACGCTGAAAGAAGCCTCGACTGGCCATCGACGGCAGACTCCAGCGCTTGTAGGATAGGTATACCTGACTCTGTAGCTTGCTACTGTGTGTGTGCATGTGTGTGTGTGGGGACCAGCCCCAAGGTTTATGATTTAACTCATTACAGTGTTTCAATCTGCCTAATAAACCAGAATTTTAAGGATCCCGAGTTGGACATTTGTAGCCAACAATACCCCTGTGGCTGGGAAACTTGTCAGCTGAGGGGACTCCCAGCTGTGGGAGCTTGCTTCTTGCTGGTTCAGGGAGAGCTCAGGATCAGGCTCTGCCTGCACTGGCAATAAGCCATAATGAGATCTGATTTGTGATCCCACAGTCACACCTCCTGCTGTGCACATGTGACATTGCAGGAGGTGTAATTGTGTGGATTGTGCATTAGATCCCATCATGCCTTTAGCTGTACTTATAGAGGGGCCCTACGTGAAATATATGATGGTGGTAAGGAATCCGGAGACTTTTTTGCTTTTGGGGATTTAGGTAAGATGCACTAATGCAGTGGAGGCCAAACTTTATGGCAGGTATGCCACAAATTAGCCCTGCACCTTCCCTGAGTGCCGCTCCAGGCCCTTCTCCTGCCTGATGTGCTGCTCTACTTTATGCTTTCTTCCCTATGCTCCCTGCCCCATTTGCTTTTTCCTTCTTGCCTTATCTACAAATGTCCTACTTGTCCCCTCCCTGAACTACTGTCTCTCTCACACAGGCTGCCTGTGCCACTTGTGGCACACATGCCACAGGTTGTCCACACCTGATCTAATGCAATTTTAATTCTCCAAAAAGGGTTATGGGGCAGTGTGTGCACTAAAATAAATACATTAACATCAGATTAATTCATCACTCCAAGAAGCCTTGTGAGAACGGCTTACTTGTAATTAGCCATTTTCAATTTTTGCTGCAATATGTTTTGTCTGATATATTGAGACATAGTTAATAATGATTTTTTTACACTTATAATACTTTTTTTTTCTTTATTACACAAATTCCGAGTACAAGTTGTATGTATTCTGGCTCACTTAATGTACAATTCCTTACTACAAAAATTTGGAGTGCTTGCTATATAACAGGAGTAGGCAACTCTCAGCACGGGTGCCAGTGTGGCACACAAAGACATTTTGCTTGGCGCACACAACTCAGGGCAGATGGCAGGGAAGGGGCCAGGGCTGTGCTACCACAACAAAGATCAGGCCCCTTGCAGCTCCCCTCCCTTCTCCCCCCCACCCTTCCCAAAGTCTGCCCCTGGTATGCCAACATCTTACAAGTTGAGGTTGCAGTTGTTTTTGGCACTCTGCCCAAAAATGTTGCCTACACTTGATATATAAAGATTACATAGTTGATTTATTCCATTACAACAATTTCTGCTTTGTATTCTTGTATGTAGTCACCACCAAAATAAAAGATAAGATAATTCTGCTATATGGAATGGTTGATCATCTAGGTTTTAGTGCGCTAAGAAAAGTTGAAGAGTATCCAGTACTTTGCCTTAATAGCGTAGGTCATTACTTTTTTAAATCACTAATAATCAGAAACAAATCTCATTGTCATTTAGAATGAGCGTAGTGTACATTTGGAAATGACTAATTATGCTATAACAGATGATGAATTAACCAAAATGTTTTGTTTACAAATCACTAGAACTCTGGTAGGGGTTCGGTGCTCCAATTAATAAGACCATAGTGATGATTTACCCAGTGACAAATTAATAAGATTTATGCCACTGTTCTTTAGGCTGTTTTTCTTTCTTTTATTCTCTCTCACTGCTCATATAAACCACCTATTTTGTCCCCCTGTCCTGTTGGAAGTACTCAAAATAATATTATAAGAGATTACTGTATAATTAACACCACCAAAAACTGGTACACAAAGTATATCTATTGCTGTTCTCCACCTTCCAAAGGTCTGAAATATTTGTACCTGTAAACTCTAAAACTGCTAGAGCTTTGGAATACAAGTCTTTGTTTTTCACCATTAAAGTGTGTGTGTGTGTGTGTGTGTGTGTGTGTGTGAGAGAGAGAGAGAGAGAGAGAGAACCCTTCCAGAGAGAAAGCTACTAAATATATGACTTGGTCAACATCAGGGTACAGACGGTTAGAGATAGCAGTTTGTTTAAATTCTGAAGTGTGATATATTGTGATTTGATTGAAATAGGACATTAGTTTTATAAGAGTAGAATAAATTCTGTACTGTGGAGAGCTACTGTAGTACCTTTTCTATGATGCTTTGTGCAAAAAAAGAAAAAGATAGGGGAAGGGAGGGTTTCATAAGTGTCTTCCATAAATAAATTGTTTCTTCTTGGCTGAGAGAGAAGCCTTTTGCCCCTTTAATAAAATCTGAATATTCTCAGCAGTTGTACCAGTTGCAGTGGATCTTAGTATTTGTTGATGCTACTGTTTTATTTTGGCTAATATATCTTATTGTATACCTTCAGTGTTTAAATTTTGGTATGTATAAACCTTTAGTCACCTAATACAATGGGCTAACTTCTGCAAACTAATAGAAAACCAGACAGGTACAATAAAACATGGCAATCCCAACAATATTGGAATTAAGTGTGTATTTTGAAGATTAATATAGCATGGTTTATTGCTTGTATACAATTTATCCATAGATTCAAGTTGAGGGTGACGATGCTGTATGTGAAATGATGGATAATAGAGAGGTACAAAAGAGACAATGAGTAGAACACACATAGGGTGTTGATTTATTACTTTCTATAGTTGGCATTAATCTTAGAATATTGAAATCATGACATAACTCTATGAATATATATTTTTTGTTTCAATAGACGAAACAAAAATCGGGAAAGGAGGCAAAAAATTATTAAAACTGATTAAAACAATTTTTGGTTTTCAGTGACAGCAAAAACTGCATTTTCAAGTGTCAATCTATTTTTAACTTTTGGCAGTTTTTAAAACCAAAAATCACTGTTTCAGAACAGTTGAAATAAATCATTTAATGTCAAAGCATTTTATTTTGGAAATGTTGAAACAATTTGGTGTTTTTTTTTTAAGGTTCCCTTTTTGTTACGCTAATTATTTTAGTACTTTTAAAATAAGTTATTCACCTTAAGTATATGCAATTACTGAATGTAGGGGGTCCGTGTTAGTGAATGTAGGGGGTCCATGCTAATTTTGCAATGGGATAATTGTTTGGCAAGTGCTAGGACCTAACTGATTTGACAAAGAATGTTACAATTAGCGTGACAGGGTCCCTTACAAAAAAAACAAACTTGAAGATATTATAACATCACTGCTTTTATTTCTCTTTTACATTATGAATGCCAGCCTTTTGGTAACAGAAACTGATTAAATAAATAACTTCCAAAATGAATAACCAGTGCAGTATATCATGACTTGATCTAAGAGCATAGTAAAATAAAGGCTAAAAAGAAACTGCATTAGCATAAGTTCTAGTTGATTGTTGTTAGTAATGGAATTCTGTTTTTCAGGTGGAAATAAGGATAACATCAGGGCAGGATGCAAGAAATGTGGCTATCGTAAGTATGCTTATAGCCCATCATTTCCCAAACTTATTAAAGTGGAGCTGCTGCTTCAGGAAAATCAACCAATTTCCCCTCTCCTGCTAGCCTACCTATCAAATTTTATACAACTTTTCACTTTCTGTTCTTCTCTCTAGTTTTCATCCCTCCTTCAACTTTGGGAAATCTTAGTATAGATCTTTATAATGTACTATTAGTGTCTTACGTATTTCAACAAGAAGCAAATAGTCAACAAATTGGAATTTAAAGTTTTTTTTTGTTGGCATTTCAATTGGCAATAGGGCTGTGCGGAACGGGCCCTGTTTGATTCAGATTCGGCCCGAATCAGGGACAGCGATTCGATCCATTGATTCGGATCACTGTCCCTGATTCGATTCGGCCGAATCTGAAGATTGAATGCTGATTCGTGATTCGGATACAGACACAGCTTTAGAAGTTGGTTTTTTTGTTACATACCTTGAAGTAGCAGTGTGGCTCGTGATCACTGCAGTGCTGGGGCGGATGGAGTGTCCCCCAGGAGCATGGGGGGCTCCTGTGGGACGCTCCGTCCACCCCAGTGTGGGGAATGCCTGGTGGGAGCAAGTGGTGGAGACAGTGGCCGGGGCTGGCACACTCCAGCTGTGGTCTCCCTGGTGGGAGAGGGGATGGAGGGGGGAATAAACCCCCTCCCTGCCCCCTTCACCTCAGGGGGCCATGTCCCCACCCCTGGAGCAACGAGGGGGGAGGGACCCCAACAGGGGCTGCTGCGCCTCAGCCAGGCAAGTCCCAGCTGGGGTCCTGGGTAGAGAGGGGACAGAGGGGGGAATAAGCCCCCTTCCTGCCCCCTTTCCCTTAGAAGGCCATGCTGGGTCTGGCATCTGGCCAGGGTTTGGGATTTGGCCACGCTTCCCCCTTCTCCCCCTCCCAAAGCTTGGCAAAAGCTGCTTCCCCCCCTCCCCCTCTCGGCACATCCTGGCTGGAGTCCCTGCAGGCCAGGGTGAAGGATTGAAACCCCTCCCCAATTATACTTAGGGCTGCAGGGGGCCTGACCCCATCCCTGATGCTGGACTGCAAATCCCAAAGACCTCAGGGGCAGCAGGAAGAGGAAGTGTCAGAGAGCTGTGTTTTAGCACCAACTGGCTTTTGGCCTGAGCCACTGCAGGCATGTGCCTGTGTTTCCAGAATCAAAACTAAATGTCTATTCACTTGCATGCCGGTTCAATCTATGCAGGTTAAAGTAACCTCCAGAGATTGAATCCATTCAGGCTTGGGTTTTTTGAATGTCTGTACTTAGTCTCGATGAAGCAGGCCATGCCAGGCAAGGTAAGCAGCTGCTGCAACTCTGAGCAGGGCTCAGATGGCTCATGTGCCGGGTGGGGGGGAGGGGGGCACAAGGGAAAGGGTGGTGAGTGCAGGGGAAGGGATATGCAGAGTGAGCGGGATGTGGGAAATGAACACGTAGAGTGACAGGAGTGCAGTACAGGGGGGAACATGGGGAAAAAGGTGTGTGATACAGGTGGGAGCACAGGGGAAGGGGTGCCATGGGGATTATGGGGGAAGCGGCATGCTGGGCAAGGGGAAACACAGGGATAGGATGCAGGAAAGGGGGAGTGTGGAGCAAGCGGGGTGCAGTGCAGCGGGGAGTATGGGGGGAAGGGCACATGGTGTGGGGGAAATGCAGGGAAAAGGCATACAGTGTGGGGGTGGAATGGGGGAAGTGGGGGAAGGGGCATGGGGAAAGGGATGCATAGGGAGTGGGAGAAGTAGAACATGGAGAGAAAGGAGCACAAGGAAGGGGCATGCAGTGCAGGGAGAGCATGGGGAACAGGAAAAGGGGGACAGCAAAGGATGCTTGGGCAAGGGGAGCTCAGGGAGGGGCAGGCACAAGAGAGGGACAAGTGGTAGGAGAAGGAAGGCACTGGTAGGGACAAGTGGCAGGGGTGCAGGCACAGGAGACGTGGCAAGGAGGGACAGGGTTGTGGGCTTCGCTGGCTGCTTCTCAGCTGCTGCTTTCCCTGTGACAGTGGTGGGAAGGATGAATTTAAGATGTCCAGGCCTGCACGCACACTACACTGACTGGCTCAGCGTGTCTGTTCTGTCCCAGCAGGTGCGGGTAACCCGTTGAACCCCATTCATGATGGGGATCAGGGATTGCAGTTATTCCCCTTGAACAAAGAATTCCCAGTAAGTGCGGGTCATAAGCTCGCATTGATTAATAAACATTTGAACACTTACCTTGCTGGGATCCTTTGGCGCTAGCTGACTTCCTGCCCCTGGGGCATGCAGCTGGACTCAACGATCTTCTGAGGTCCCTTCCAGCCCTAATGTCTATGAAATCTAAGACAACCTTTCAGTAACTGGTTTCTAGACATGGAAAATTAAAACAAATTTATAATTTTCTTTGTCTGCAATATAATAATTGGGGGGAAGAGAGGTTGTCTTTAGATTTGAGTAAATACGGTACGTAAGCAGTTCATGCAGATAATGACTAGATACTGGCATTCAAAAAGCCTGAGGTAGAATCAGTCTAAGTTGCACGGATTTCTGTAAGCAGCGTAGTTTAGATTGGTAGCAGACAGAACACACATTTGCCCTGTAGTTTGGATGTGGGGGAGCAAGGGGCCAACTCTTAGACCAGGTTCTGCCATTTTTAAACCAGTCTGTGTGCCAAACATCTGTTTTGTTATGGGCATATGCTGGTTTCCGGTCACTTATACTGGTAAAATTGTGAAGTCTGTACCTGGCCAATGTCTGTTACAATGTAAGCAATAAGAAAAAAGTTTGGGAGCTGTGTAGTATAAAGCAGTTAACTTTCATGCCTAAAAGATAAATGCATAATTTGGGTTGAGTACACTGTATTATCATTTAGCATTTCCATGTTGTCTCATATGGATGGCTTGATGGCTACTCTCTTTATAAATGGCCTAAATTTATTGTCTTTTTGGGGGGTGGGGAGGTGAGGGGGACTGGTCTAGTAATAAAACCTGCTTTTACTTAAATCATTTTCTTAATTTTTAAGATCATTTTGTTGATACCATTTTCAAACAATTTTAGTTCTCTGTTAAAGACAGGTTATGTGGCTTGCTGAAATTTTAATAAATTTCTCGCTCGTTCGCTGGGTTGATTTTTTTTAATTTTTTTTTTATAAGTCCCTCTGAAGACTCCCAACGATTTCAGAATAATCTCGTTTAATATGTAAAATGTTGGAAACTTTCTGGAAGAGAGAAACTTTGTTAGAAAAGTCAAGCGACTTATCTTTTGTTAATGTTCCCTACTGCTTTGCCTTCAGGAACCTATCTTTGATATGAAGAGTCTGTGTTTGTTTCAGTAACTACCCTGGTTCCTGTGGAGACTTCTGGCTGGGCTCCTTTTTTGTATACGGTTAAATTATTTTTTCAGCTGACAGCTCTACAAAAGGTTGAGTTTAGAGCTCTGGTTTTCACATTTCCCCTTGTCCATTATTTTCAGATGGGTTTTCATTTTCTTATCTGTTGCTGGGATACAAACTTGGGATTTTTTGCTTCCTTTTAAAAAAATATGCATACATATAGACAGCTGCTTCTGCAGATAAAGTCCTTTTAATGAGCTGACTTTTGTAATAATTACTGCATTATAGAAGAATTAGTCAATTTACTGTCTCAGAGCTAGAAGTGTTTATTATAGGTACAATAACCAGAGGAGGGTACTAAAACGTTTTGTATCACCTTTACCCTGGAATTTCTGATCTTGAGCTCATCATAGAAAACATACCCTCAAATTTTAATCGCTCCTATTGTCTTTCTACATTTCTGATTTAATCTTTTTCATATTTAATTGTGTTTTCTGTGTACACTGTGTTCTTGCAACCTGCTGTGTCTTTAAAGCTTTAATAACTGTTGACATGTATTCTTTATTTTGGAAAATACAAATGACAAATAATATTCTTGCACATTTTTCAGTTATTCTTTGACTGGCACAGATATCATTTGTTGCTGGAAGGGAAATAGATTTCACATTTTGCTCTAAAAACATTCTTTTTCATTTGCAAAACTTTTTACTTTGTTTTTGAAGTATTTACTCAAAGAAAATAATACAAAAGCTTAGAAAGGTTTGAAAACTACAAGAGAAACATTGATGGATAGAACGATATGCTGGGCAAACAAGAAAACTCATCTCCAGTCAACAAACTTCTTCCCCGGTGCACAACTCCCAAAAGTCTTCCTGTACTCTTTCAAATTGACCCTCATTTATTTCTCCACTGATGGACTAGAATTTTAGTCCAACACTTCACCAAGTCTCCATAATACTAAAATGTATACTTCACAACCCAAAGCAGCAAGTCTTCAGTGGCCACATTGCTGCTTTCCCAGGAGAAACCCTGAGTATACAGATGTTTGGGAGTATTCTCCCAGAGCAAAAATTGCCACTCCAGAAGTAAAAATAACCCTGAGTTAAACAATCAGGATTAAATCACTCCCAGGAGCATTTCTTGTGGAAGAGCGAATGTCTGTACCTATTCAGTATCGCTTCATAACATGTCATGTTTTTCTCTCTGTCTTAACCTTTTTTTTATTCAGCTGGTCATCTGACATTTGAATGCCGAAATTTTCTGCGCGTGGACCCTAAAAGAGACATTGTTTTAGATGTTAGCAGTACAAGCAGTGAAGACAGTGAGGAAGAAGAACTGATAAGACTGCAATCCATAGGAGAGAAAAAGAGTAAGCTCTAAATTAGTAGAACATTATAAACTAAAAAATAAATCTTTTAAAGTACTGTGACTGTCATTTTATACTTGGAAATTTTTCCTTTGCTAATCAAAGCAGTTACCTAAAAAGGCTTTTATTGTGTATCTTTTTAGTCTAGTTATTGTCTTTAGTTCCTAAGCAAGATTTTGTTTGAAAGCAACTAGTAAATTGGATTTGAGAATTAATAGTTGGTGTTATCTGTTCATGTATAATATGGAAAACCTACATTGGAGCTGAGTTGAATGAGAGGGACAGCTGTTCCTTGGGAATATGCAGCATGATCCTGTATTAATACAAGTGAGTTAAATTACCCTAAACCTGATCCTGGATGAGGCAGGGTTAAAGTTTGAGCAGTTTAACAGAATCATACTGATATAACAGTTGCAGAGCAACAGGTTGTTATGTCTGTCTGGTGTCTTAGAAGAATAAACCTCAAATTCTGCAGAGAGAGAATTGGGTGGGATGAAGTAATTCACAGGTACTCAAGTTTATATGGAGATGGCAACTCTGGATGGACAAAGGTCTAATCAGAAAGATACATCTGATGGGAGTCTGTTTTAGCATAGTCTGAGCCTACCAGTTTAGGTATAGTTGGGACTTGGTCACCTGCTGTTACTTTGAAGTTGCTATTTATTATTAGTCTTATGTATACCAGCCTTGATGCACTTATTATTTTTCATGCACTTGCATTTTCAGTCTTAATTTTTTATACTCTTTTGTCCATATTATGCCTCCACTTCCTGTTCAAAACCTAACAGTTGGGTCATTAGGATGGAGGGGTAGAAATAAGTATTGTCCCAACATCTCCTGTATTGCTAGAACCCTTCAAAAGAAATGCTGAGACACCTCTTGTAGCATATTGAAGTGCTCAGCAAAAAAATTCTCCATTTTGAAGATCTGGTCGGGAACAAGTTTGTTCACAAAAATTAAGTAAATTTGAACCTAGGGGTTTTGCATCTGTGCCTCTGAATTGGCCACTCATTTGGGAAAAAAGATAACCCTGGTGAAACAGCTAGCTTTAAGTAGATGTGTAGGACAGAATCTTATGCTCTTTAGTATAGATCATCTGGCTAGTATAGATTCCTGTTTTGAATTGTGGAAGTGCTATATGTTTGTTTGTTTGTTTGTTTTTCTTCCTATTTGGTTAACTCAGCTTCAAAAAGTCAAGAGAATGATGGTTACTCATAGATACTTGATAACCAGTCTAATTCAGCACAGAAAAGTAGATTTTTCCCTAAGAAAAAAGTTCTAAAGATGAAGGAAGTGCCATGATTAAATGGTGTAGTAGTAAGTTTGATCTGCATATTTGATCAAAATTTAGCATTGGGCTATTTTAATTCAGTGCTGGCAACCTTACAATTACAATTTTTGAATTAATGGGTTTTTACATATCTGTGTTACTAATAACTTGCAAAATACTAAAACTGAAATCAGCTTCCAAACTAGTGGGAAGGAATCAGAACTCGTGGCAGAGGTGATATCTTTTATTAGACCAGCTAGATGTATCCTGCAAACTAGCTGTGTATTCTTCTATAATTTTGCAGTTTTGTTGCTGACTGAAAATGGAAACTCAACCATTACCTGTTCTTCTGATGAAATACACCTTAATGGCTGTGGACTTCTTTCAAATTGTCAATCCCATCTCTTCCACCCCAACATCAATCTTCAAATGAGTGGTGCTAAGTCAGAAGTGCTCTCCCCTGTTAGCTATCTGAGAATGCATAGGTGTTGCTCCTAGGCGCAAGTTTGCTGTTTGAATAATAGATAGCTTACAGTTAAATCAATGCACCTTGGGTCCACAGTTAAAGAAACATTGAATTAAAATCAACTTTAGATGCCATCAAAATCATTTGCTTCCATTTGTGGATACTTTTATAAATAGGTTTTGTGATAAAGATGTATGCAGGGTTGGATCCCAGAGGTGGTATAGCACCAAGGCTGTGCTTCCCTTTGGCTGTGCTTCACATGTGCAATGAGCTCTAAGTAGCTCACTAGAGAAATGCAAAACTCTAGAATTCTTGGTTTCAAGAGATGATACCTTTTATTAGACCAACTAAGAAATCACAAAAAATATATCTTTTTCTGCAAGCTTTCAGGTGCACACACCCTTCCTCAGGCTCAGGGAAAATTTAAAGATGGTTAAAAGTCCCCATAGGTAGAAAATAAACTTCATTTTTGCACAGAGAAAGCTGAAGTTGGAAGTATGTTCCTCTGGGTCCCTGGGAGTATCTTTGTCAGTTGCTCTTTGCTAGGCAGATAAGGCAGGATTCCTTCCCTGGTGGTATCAGACGGCAGACAGGCAGGGAAGTGTAGAAATCTTTCTTGTTGTTCAGCAGCCCAGCCTAATCCAGCTGCATGGAAAGGAGTCATGACTTGGCTCTGACTTGGCCCTATGAGGGGAAAGGGGCATAGCCCAGCTCTGAATCAGCCACACAGGTCTAGGAGTGTGGGGGAGGAAGGGTGCATGGTCCAGCCCCAGCCTGGCCTGGTAGAGGGAAAGAAACATGACCTGACTCTGACCTGCCACAGAGCTTAGGATCTGGTAGTGGGGAGGGTGGTGATAACATTTTGTGACCCACCACCAAATTTTCTGACCCATGTGGAGCCCCACGAACTGGATTCCAAGGCTCTGGAGGCCACGTTTGGTCCGTGGGCTGAAGTTTTAGCACCCCTGATCTAATCCATCCACCAGTTCTAAGTCGGGACTAAGACCATCCTAGTCAGCTAGCTAAGCTGTTTTATCATGTAGTGCTCCTTAACTCTGTATGTTGTTTATTGCTTAGTTCTTCTCTGGTATCCTGGTTTCAGTATCAAGTTGTTGATATGACTTTCTGTCATGTTATAGCAGGGTGAAATATAGCCTTAGTGTCACACTGGTCATGGATGAGTCCTACTCCAGTTACTTTTATTGAGTATTTACATGAACTCAAACCTTGCTTTCCCAAATAGTATGGGGACAGAGAGAAGGAAAACTAGGAGGATGTTTGGTAAATCTTGGAGATGTGAGTTCTTTCAGAGTTCAGGTTTTACTGATAAAGAGGATATTCGCATGAGAACTGTAAAAGAGACATAAATTATAGAAAATTAGGGTTCATAGATTCATAGATGTTAGGGTCGGAAGGGACCTCAATAGATCATCAAGTCCGACCCCCTGCATAAGCAGGAAGGAGTGCTGGGTCTAGATGACCCCAGCTAGATACTCATCTAACCTCCTCTTGAAGACCCCCAGGGTAGGGGAGAGCACCACCTCCCTTGGGAGCCCGTTCCAGACCCTGGCCACTCTAACTGTGAAGAAGTTCTTCCTAATGTCCAATCTAAATCTGCTCTCTGCTAGCTTGTGGCCATTATTTCTTGTAACCCCCGGGGGCGCCTTGGTGAATAGATACTCACCAATTCCCTTCTGTGCGCCTTGGTGAATAAATACTCACCAATTCCCTTCTCAGGGTTGGAAGGTACCTCAGGAGGTCATCTAGTCCAACCCCCTGCTCAAAGCAGGACCATCCCCAACTAGATCATTCCAGCCAGGGCTTTGTCAATCTGGGCCTTAAAAACCACCCAGGATGAATATTCCACCACCTATTTAGGTAACCTGTTCCAGTGCTTCACCCTCCTAGTGATAAAGTTTTTCCTAATATCCAACTTAAACCTCCTTGCTGTAACTTTAGACCACTGCTCCTTGTTCTGTCATTTGTCACCTCTGTGAACTGTCTAGCTCCATCCTCTTTGAAACCACCCTTCAGGTAGTTAAAGGCTGCTGTCAACCCTCTCCCCCCTTCCTTGGTCTTTTCTGCAGACTAAATAAACCCAGTTCCCTTAGCCTCTCCTCATAAGTTATGTGCCCCAGCCCCTGAACCATTTATGTTGCCCTCCACTGGGCTGTCTCCAATTTGTCCACATCTTTTCTATAGTGGGGGGCCCAGAATTAGCCACAGTACTCCAGATGTTGTTGGCTCTCTTGGCAACAAGGGCACGCTGCTTTCTCGTATCCATCTCATCGTCCACTGTAATCCCCCAGGTCCTTTTCTGCAGAGCTGCTGCTTAGCCATTCAGGCTCCAGCCTGTAGTGGTACATGGGATTCTTCTGTACTAAGTGCAGGACTCTGCACTTGTGCTTGTTGAACCTCATCAGATTTCTTGTGGCCCAATCCTCCAATTTGTCTAGGTCACTCTGAATCGTAGCCCTACCCTCCAGTTTATCTGCAACACCCCACAGCGTGGTATCATCTGCAAACTTTCTGAGGGTGCACTCCATCCCATCTTCCAGATTGTTAATGAAGATGTTGAAATACAAGCATCCTGTCTGTGGAGACAGAAGCAGTTAATATATAAGTCTGTGAATTAGGAGTTCTCACCATGTTTTTGTGCAAAACATATTTGGATGTTGATATTTAGAACGTGAGAGGTATAATCAAAGTGCTACTGCCCTGTAAAATCTCTTGTAATGAACAGATTGAAAAAGTAAGAGAAAATATTTTGGTTTTGGAGAAGAAAAGAATTTGGTGTTTCAAGTTGTTTAGTATAAAATGTATTTTGCAAGAGAGAATATTTTGTGTAAATTACAACTTGTATACCCATAGGTACAAATGATGAAGAAGAAAAAAAGCAAAAAAGAAAAAGCAAAGAAAAATCCAAACTAAAGAAATCCAGAAAAAGGTAAATTCCTTATACTTAGTTTTAAGCCACAAACAGAATATTCTTAGTACTTTTAACTCCAAAATGTATTTTTCAAATTCATTGTTATATCCCTTAAACATGCGTTAATCTTCATGCTTGCTTCCATAAAAACCCATATCTCCAAATGTGAACTTGTGATACAGAATTTTTTTGCTTTTCAAATATTAAGAGACAATACTACTAATCTCTTGCATTACTAATTGGGAACAAAACTAAAACTTAGCAAATATTAGAAACACTAAAAAAATGTGCTTTACAGAATGAGATGAAACAATTTAGGATGGGGTTTTGAATTACTTTATTTGCTTCATAGTTAAATGACAGCTGTATCAGGGCTCTGATCCTATAAAGCAGTGGTCTCCAACCTTTTTAGGTTGGAGAAAACTTTTGGAATTTAAAAGAAACTGAAGATCTACCCCCTGCCCAGCAGGTTAGTCTGTGGGAAGGGGAGGGAGGAAGGGAAAGGACCATGGGGGTGGGGAGCAGGGCAGATTGAACCCCCAGCCCTAGCCCCACTCCCTCCCTCACCGATGGGGCCTTGTTCTGCCTCCCCAACAACAGCAGGGAGGCAAGGAATGGGGCTGGGGCAGGAGCAAGCCCTGTACAGCCAGTGCGGGGCAGGGGATGGAGCTGCGAGTGGCTTGTCTGTGGTGGGGCTCAGGGAGGGGGGGCATGCAGCCTGGAAGGGTATGGGGGGTGCGTGCCCCCAGATCTATACACGAGGCGGGCTGGGGCTGGGGCCGGGGCTGGTGTGGCTCTGGCTCTTCCCGGCCAGGCTGCAGTGGCGCTAAGAGTGAGGCCATGGTGGGGGGTGGTACTGGAGGCTCCCAGCACCAGCGCCACCCTCCCCAAGCGCAAGCACGGGCCAAGTGCACAGTTGCAGCCCACTCTCCCCCGTACCTGCCAGCACCTGGCCCCCAAGTCCTGTGTGGGGGCTAGGCTGTGGCGGACTGTTCTTAATGGGTCTGACCTGCACTTGCATTTGGGGATGGGTGGCTCTGGCTCTGGGAGCGGTGGTTGGGCGGGGGGTTATGCCCCCTCCCCCATGGCCTCACTCCCAGTGCCGCCACAGCCCAGCCACAAAGAGCCAGCGCCACCCCAGCCCGCAGCCCACTGTATGGGCACGCCCAGGGGCACACGCCCCCTGTGCCCTCCTGGGCTGCGTGCCTCCCTTCCTCACACCCCCCGGATGAGCCACTCGTGGCTCCATCACCTGCCCCTCACCGACTGTGCAGGGTCTGCCCCATTCCCTACCTCAGAGTTGCTGCAGCTGCCCTGCATTTGCGGGGGACATGTGCCCCTCCAATCTGTGCGTGGTGGAGGCAGCTGCCACGGCGGACTAGGCGTTGTGCCCCAAGCTCCACTGCACATGCCCCCCAGGCCTCCGCCCCTTCCCTCCCCCACCAACTGACATGCTGGGCTGGGAGGTGGGAGGGGTGGGCACGTGCACACGCACATGCACGCTCAGCTCCCCCAGCCCAGGATGAACTTCAAGAGGTTCCAGGATCTACCGGTCAATCGAGATAGACCAGTTGGTGACCACTGTTGTTAAGACAACCACACTTCTCTAGGCTCATGGAATTTGTGTAGCTCCATTATAGCAAATCAGTGTGTTAAAATGAAGTCATGTTAATTTCCAATTGAAATAACTGCATTTCTCCTCTGACACTCATTTTTTATGTCACTGATTATGAAAGAATTGTCTATGTCCTGTAAGTGAAAGTTTGTAGCTCTTAGTACCTTCTGGTGCCTATTTCTGATTATGTGCCTGTTTTATTTTCCAAAACTTCACAAAGCTGCTTCCAGTGAAAGTGCATTAAGGTTCCACATTCAGTTTGAAGATAAGTGCCCAGAATTTCAAATTCTATATCAAAGCTATAGAGTTCTGGGATACTCCTTCATCCTATTTCATTGTAGGTGCCCAAATAACTTTCCTTCCCTAGAAGTGCTGGGGAGTGGGTCACAGGGCACTGTGCTGAACAACAAAGGGATCTCTACTACTGGCTCCTCTGCTGCTATGGCAATGCCACGTGTGCAGCAGGGGCCTGAGTGCCTGAGTCCACTTTAGCCTATGCAGGCTCCCCTACTGGTCCCTCCAGACTTTATACTCCCAAGAACCCCTTCTACTGTTTCAACCTTCCTCCACACTCTGGTATCTCCTGACCTCTTAATTCACATGTAGGTAGATTGTGGAACCCAGCTAACTTCAAGACAGGGCCCAAGTGTTAGATTTTCTATACTCTAATATGCGTTGTAGTTGCAGTTCACGTCAAAATCTCCAACTGCATAAAAATTCCATATGAGTACCAAAACCTGTTTGAGGCTTATCTGGGCCATGGACATCTTTTAATTTAATAAAAATATTTATTTGTTTCAGAGGCTGGGAAAAAGCAGGCATGTTGCTATAGTATGATATGAGAGCAGGAGAAGGAAGCGACCTTGAGTAGAGGTGGTCAGAATTTTTTTTGACAAAATAGTTTTCCCATAAAACATCTTAAATTCAACAAATCTTTTATCAGATTGCTCACTGGATTTCCCTTAGAAAGCTGCCTGCTTTCATTAGGGAGTTGATGGTGATCCAGGACCTTCCAGAGGTGATGGGGTCTGGAAAGCACTGCTTACAATGCTAGGACTCCTGGGCTCTGATGCTGGAGCTGGAAACCTGAAATCACTGTAAACCCTAGCTTTATCCAGGGCTCAGCTCTTAGCTCTACAGCAAGAAGTGTGAAAGACTTGAGAGCCATGCTTCCATGGCTGCCAGGGAGAAGCCACTTTTGCAAAGGCGTCCAGTGCCCAGTGGAGCAGAATGTCCCTTGCAAACACCTTTCCCCGCCCACACAACCCAATATCTCTGCAGCAGTCCCTGCACTCAGGCCCTTACTGCACACATGGCATTGTCATAGCAGCAGCAGGTGCTAGTAATGATCCCTTTGTTGTTGAGCACAGTGCCCTGTGATCTACTCCCCATCAGCCCCTCTCACTGCTCACTGGGGACCTGTAGTCTGCCATGCGCTCAGGCTGGCAGCAGGGCATAGGGACTGGACTGCGCTCAGCAAGGTGCTTTGATAATGTCTCTCCAGCTGATAATGTCATTTTTCCTTTTATCCGTGCTGATCCAGTAGCCAGCCGATATGTCAGTGCACCCCTACTGATCATGTCTCTGTTGCAAACTGACTGTGCCAGACAGTGGCTTACTCAAACACACTTCTGTGCACATTCATAATCCCAACTAGAAGCCATATAGCTGAATTAGCACTGCGGGTAGGCGCACTAGCTCTGACTCCAAATGGTGCTAATCAGCCCATCTGTAGCACTATATAAATGTAGATAAACTGCTTCTAGTCAGGGAGGTACCACAAGTGGACCAGTGCAGCATTTTGAGTACACTGCTGTTGGGCACAGTAAGTATATGTTTGGTGCAGGCATGCCTCTCTTAGAGACTGTATTGAGCTAAAAAAAATATGGTGAACTTGTATATACTGTTGAGTAATACCTTAGGATTAAAATTGGCTAGAAATGGGATTTTGTTCTATTGGTAATTGTACCCGCCTCTGCTCTAAGAGGTGTTCCCGCGCCGCCCTCACCCGGGCCCAAGATCTTGTGAGCCCGGGGCCTACGGGTGGACCCCGGTGGGTGCCCCTACTGACGTCAGGAGGACCCCTGAACTCGCCTGCCACAACTTTGAATGTTACCTCAGTGGGGGGTCCTCCCTTAGGGTTGCCACTAGGGTCAGCGCGTTTCTCGGCGGGTAGTCTTGGGGCTCTGTCCTCCCCTACCCCCCAGCCACTCGCCACCTTGTGCCCTGGTCCACCAGCTGTCAATAGTGATCTTCACGCCAGGTGTCCGGCTCCCTAGGGCACCAGCCAGGCCCTTCTACCCCGGTACCTGCTCCACACTTGCAGTCCGCAATGCAACTGGTTTCACCGCGGGCTCTCTTATCTATAATACGATCGGTAGTTCTCCGATGCTGCTGCATCCAATGCGGCCGGATACCACACCGCTCCTGCTGGTTGGGAGGCAACTGGTATCCTCACCCACTCTGATGCCCGTCAGCTCGATCAGCTCCCCCTCGGGCTCTGCGGTAGCCCGCTTCCTCCCTGGCTCTGCCTGCAGC